TTAGTGTAAGGATATGGTACAGAAAGAAAGAATTAGTTGGTAGAAAGAAAGATATGAAGCGATTTTAATCTCATAGTTTAAGGGAAGACAAAAAGTGTATACACCTACGTGATTGTGATCGATTCTGAGCCATGTCACACAGAGTCTACAACCATTGGTTACAATAGTCACGAGGACCCCAACCAAGTAGTCTACATCTACCAACATGGCTCGGACTAGAAGTTAGTGACTTCAAGCACTGATGCCTTGTTTTGGATTGGCCACCCTTAACTATATTCCAACCATTCCCAACACTAGTCAGCATTGTGCATCGTGGTAATCAGTGTTCTGGCATACTTAACACGTGGCCCAACTAACTCAGTCGATGAAGATCCATAACTTCATCAACTGACTTACCATCATTCACTAATACCCTGCATCTAACCTTGCTATTACTTACCTAATGATCCCAGCGGATTCGAGCATTATTTCTAAGGCATCTGTGGTCATATACTGGTGGTATTTGTCAATGATTAACAAAGACTAAGTTACTGATATAAATCAGATAACACTGAACAACCATTTTTTTTTCTCTAATATAAAACACCCTTGCCAGATGTCTTAGTGAACATTCAGTTATAAATCAGTGGTTTTAGATTCAGTCATTTGAATTTCTAACTTTATTCAATTAATTTATTGTTAACTTACGAAATGATTGAGCATGGAAATGTGAACCATAGAATTTCAAAGTTTCCAGTGGGAACAAGTGACTACTGAAAGTTAACTATATTGAAAATTCTAGGTTAACTCTCAGAGGAATATTCAGTATGAACAGCTGATTTGTCCTACACTAAAAAGATGATACTTCAACAATATCAAAGCAGTCACTAAAAAAACTAAACGAGTATAAATGCTAAATTCACTTGGTACTGTTTGTTTGAATCTTCCCATTGATGTTTAGGACTGCAATTGATCAGTCTGTTATTGGCATATGTGCATACTGTGCTTATTGCCTCGATATAGGCTTAATTCACAAGCATCATATCCAAAGATGTATAGTGGTTAGCAGTGGAATCCAGGACGTCTGTTTCTTTATATTTAGGACTCGTCAGCTGAATGTGTCTGCATCTCAGAATTGTTGTTTACTCTGGAACTTTATAACGTAATGTACCATTTTAAAAAATCATCGAAAATCATTAACCAAACGAGTAATTTTATGGTTTTTCGAATCAATCCCTGCTCAACCCCAAATTTCATTAAATCAAGACACATCATTTTGAAGAGTCTACAGTAATAAAACAAAAACATTTAAGCCATCAAACACAGCTAGTCCCCCTTCCTCTAAATCTCGTTAATATGCTTTACAAAAACTTGTCAATTACTTTGGTTATATAAATTTCAGTTTAGAATGTTACTAAAATAAACATATTCAGTATCAAATGTAGTTCTGAAGACAATTTACTTTATTTTCTAACAATAAGAGATGATATGAAGTCTATTACATTGGAGATCTGTCCAATGAATTGATGTGTATATAACCAGCATAACTCAATCATTGTTAATGTAACACTAAAAAACCAGGTATTATTTGATCGAATTTCTCCTAGAAGAGTGTTGTACAGCGCTGAACGTCGATGACCTTTCTCTTAGGAGTTGCTTTTCAGAACTCTTAAAAACATTGACTTAGCGTTTAATTATAAAATACGAACTTTTATCCATCTGCAATACAGAAGGATAATTATCTAATGACATTGATATACATTGTTTCACTCAAGATATTTTTGTATAATACTCGTTACAATTTCATATTAGTCCTTCAGGAACATCTTAAAGCTAGTCATTGATGAACTCGATATCATTTGACAATTGTCTCGTCTTAGTATGTGATTCCTTCTATATTACTTACTTACTTACTTACTTACTCCTGTTACTCCCAATGGAGCATAGGCCGCCGACCAGTTGATTCCTTCTATATATATACCCCAAAACCTCTGTACATATTATAAATACAGAACCAAATGAAATCATAATGGTTACCAGACACTTAATGATGTACAAATGATCTAATTACCCTGATCTAGGTATACATACATCCAGTTAGTTTGATTTAACTAATGGCACATGAAAATTAACAGTATAATAAAATGGAAGAACTATCGTTTATATCAGTAATCTTATCTAATGGTTGTTTTATGAAGAACAGATCAGCTTCCAAATGAAGTGGAAATGATTAATAGACGTTGAAATTGGATAGAATAAACATTTTGGAAATCATGAAACTGTATCACTAAACAGACGTTAACTTTGAATCGTGAAGGGAAATAGAAAGGTGGATAATCAAAGAATGCACTGCCTTGGGAATTGAAAACAGATTTCAAATGATGAATAGCTATTGGGAACAAGTGTAAATGATTGTTCAAAACAGAGTTGGATAGAGAGTCGTGATGGGTGACTTATGCCCCTTCAAGAGGAGTAACAGGCGTAAGTAAGTAAGTTAAAGGTTTACATAATCAATCCTAAATGCCTATTTAAAAATAATTGAAAAATATTGATTCATATTTACTACAAATCTAATAGCTTAATGATTTAATGGAAAGCTATATTTTATTGAACCAATATAACATTTTTGATTGAGATCATGAACTGATTGATGTTAGACCACCATTGAAAACCTTAAAGCACTCAACGGCCATTTCGTCCTATTGTGGGACTCCTCAATGGTGTGCATCCACGATTCCACTAGCAAGATTCGAACCCAAAACCTTCAGTCTCGCGTGCAAACGCTGAACCCCTAGACCACTGAGTTGTCATCCAACTGTGTTTATTTCTAACCTCAACCAATCCATGAAATTGCGTGACCATCTTCCATTATACTGAGGTAGATACCTGTCTGTACATACGAATTACATAATCAGTTAAATGAATTGAATAACTGTACACGTTGAAGTACCGTTTTTCTTTTATTGTCAAAGTACACTAGGAAACCCGATATCAAAGTATTAGAAATAATGATAATCTCAATTGTAGTAGAATAATTTGGGAATAGATAATATAAAATTCATCAAGAAACCTTAATCAATTATTTAATAATAACTAATATACTTTAATAGAATAGTCAAAATGTTATAGACTGATGTGTTAGATTGAGATCATATGAACCGATGATGCGGGATCGTGGATGCGCACTGCTGAGGAGTCCCATACTAGGACGAAACGGCCGTCCAGTGTTTCCAGGTTTTCAATGGTGGTCTAGCTTCAACCTACTCATGATTTCAATCTGTGAAATTTCTAAAATCTCCACAAAACCCATTCTGAACCGATTGATGTTAGACTGATGTTATTTCTGAATATGATCTCTTCTGCCTTTTCCTAGAAGAACTTTGAAACTACCAGTTATTGTATGAAATCATAGACAATCATTAAGCATAACTAACTATCATAGTTGATAAAATTAACGTTTACATTCATAAAAATGTACATTTTTCTACAATATATGAAACCGATCAAACTAATTTAATTGCTAATTTCATGATTGAATTCATAAGTCAATTAATGCTAAAACCTGGGAGCACTGGATGATCTTTTTGTTCTAGTTTAGAACTCCTCAGCAGTGCACATCCACGACCCTCCTGGCGAGATTCGAACCTAGGACGTATAATTATCTCGCGCGGACTCTGAACCTCTACACCATTGAGCTGGAGTCTATAATTACATTATGATCTTAAAAATGACTATATCTACTCGTTAATTATCACTTGTTTTTTTTACTACAAAGGATGTCGACTGATTATCGCAATCAACTGAATACTTTAAAATATAGACCCGATCAAATTAGTAAAAAAAAACACGGATCTACCCTCAATCCGATACTGAGAATAATATCAGCCTTAATTTTTGTTGATAAATATACAATCTACATTTTAGACAACTAATCAAATATCATATTTCAACTAGTATACTAATCTTATAAGTAAACACAAGTATGAAAACAATATTACTATTCTAGTTAGAGAATTACTAGAACCATCATCCAGAAGATACATGTGTTTAGTAACAGTTGTCTACACAAAATAATTCGGATCCATTAGCCAGACACTACACTATGAGCAACAACCTACTATGGAAGAGAATAAACCACATTCCAGCGGAGGAAGAAATCGGGAACAACCACTGGAAGTGGATAGGAGAGATATTGAGGAAAGCACCGAACTGTGTCACAAGCCATGCCCTCACTTGGAATCTTCAAGGCTAAAAGACAAGAGGAAGATGAAAAAACACATTATACCGAGAAATCGAGACAGATATGAGAAGAATGAACAAAATTTGGACAGAGCTGGAAAGGAGGGCCTATACTCTATCAGGAGTAACAGGCGTAAGTATATAAATAAGTAAGTAAGTATTCCATATATATATATATATATATTACTTGATTTACCCACTAATTTCTCTCAATCAAAACATTTTCTTTACTTACAAAATATATATGATGTATATATTTATCATCTATACTTCTACTAGGCAAATGAAACAATAATAAGCTGTGAAAATACAAGTCATTCACAATGTATATCCATGCATATATGTTCAACAATAGGTTATATATATATATATATAAGGAAAACAATTTACATTATAATTATATCTGTTCGTTTGTTTATTCATGATGAGAACATTACCATGAATACTTGGATTACTTTCAATGAATTCCATGATTTCATCTTCTTGGAACATTCTAGATTCTTCTATTGGAAAATTACTATAGTTATATATAGATGAATTTTTCTTCCGTAAACATCAGTCTGTTCCAAAGATTATCTATGTATACTCACAGAATAGATGAGTTGACTTTGATCTATAATCATAACTTTCAGTTACTATGTATATTTCTAATGGATACCCATTAATAATTGTACTTAGAAACAGAATTATTTCAATGAAAGTTTATCATCATGAATTAATGTTTTATCAAATGATTATGATTATGATTATTGATATAAGTAGTATTCATAGTAGTATAAGTATTATTGATATAAAAAATGTTTTAAACAAGTAATATTTTTCAATAGTATATAACATGTTTGACGAAATCTTGCTGAAAATAATGAATAAAATACAAAATTTAATGCAGCATTAATAATTAATAATACATTTGATATATTTGCATAAATTAATAGGCACTTAGTTGTATATTGTGTTGATTGTATTATACCAGTATTCCATAAATTCATTATTATTGTTGGTACCATACTTGGTAATTGTAATAATACAAATGCTATAACAATTGTAATTAACATTAATGTAATACGATGTTGTTCACCTAATTTTGTACCTTTTTTTATATTCATTATTGGTAATAAATTTGTTTGATAATTCATTGATCGATATGATTGTGTTATACTAGATGTGATACCAATTGTTGTTCTCATACTTGCTTCTAATGCATCACGTACAATTGCTGGTACATTATGACTTGTTGTAGCTTCTTGATTTAATTGAACCATACTATATTGACGTCCATTATTATTATTATCATTATTATTATCATTAGGAGTATTACTATTCGATAATAAGTCAATATTTTTCGGATCATTTATAATATTGATCGATGGTATACAAGTATTATTATTATTATTATTATTACCTTGTTTGATCAATATTCTTCGATCATAATTAGCTTTCATCACAGATCTTATTAATAAACTATTAAATATAATTAATAATATCATTGGTAATATAATAAATATAATTTGATTAATATAATCATAACCAATTTTAATTAAAATAATATTGATTTGTGTATCAACAACTAAATATTGATTATGATGATGATGATGATTATTGATTGTTGTATTGGTTGAATTATTGATTAATTGATTATGATGATTACTATTATTATAAGTAGTATTATAAGTAGTATGATTATATTTGATTGTTTTTTTAAAATAATCTGGTAATGTTATTAAAAAACATATAATAAATATAATAATAATAACATAACGTGCACGTTGTTTAGTACAATAACGTTTACCTAATATAGGTGATGATATAACAATATAACGTTCTAATGTAAAACTTACAGTAAGCCATGTAGTAATATTACTAAATAAATTAGCAGTACCATGTATATATGTAATACTATAGGCATATAAAGTTAATTGTTGAATAGATGGATATAACCATAATGAAAATAAATAAGTAAATAATAAATATAATAAATCACATATAGATACAGCAGTTAAATAGATATTAGTTGATGAACTCATCCATTCTCTTGTTAATATAATAATATTAATAATATTGGATATAAATCCAATTAAACATAATAAGGGAGTTAAAATTTTACCGCATATTAAACGCATTATAGATAATATATGATCTAAATATTCTAAATCTAATTCATTTTGTTTCGATAATGTAATAGGGATGATATAAGTAGTATGATGAATAGTAGGAATTGTTGGTGTTGTCGTTGTCGTCGTCGTTGTTGTAGTAGTCGTCGTAGTTGGATGAGAAGGTGGAGCAGGATGAGGAGAAGACGGAGTAGTATTAGTAGTAGTAGTATGATTATTAATAATGAAATATAGATTTGTATAATTAGACATATTATTCAATAATTGATCAAACATATTTTGTATAGATCCATTTTAATTGAAGATCATTGTCATTTGGATAAGAAATCCTTTAAGAAGTTTCTAAATACATATATGATTGAATATTAAGATCTAATGATACATTTGTACAATGGAATTCTGATGTTCAAATTGACAGATGATCTTTGTTTGTTTATTTGTGAGGGTGTCTGTATGTAAGTGTGTGTGTGTGTGTTTATGTTGCTGGTTTGGTTATTCTAGTGTATGTTTCATGAATGCACAATCATTGCATTTTCATTACACATAATTATGATGATGATGATGATAATAATAATGAAGATATAATTGAAATTGCATTTTATCTTCATCATAGAAACGTTAAGTGTGAATAAGGAACAAATCAAATGAAATACTTACCTACAACATATGGATGTATGGATGTACATATATATAACGTATTTTGTCTATTCATATCTATATTGTATTCTGGTTAGATTATCGGGTTAGGCTAAGTGACAAGGGAGGGAAGAAAGAAAGAAAGAACGAAAGTAAACACACACACACACACAAATTCAAGTACATATGTACATCTTTATCACAATAAGTAAATATGATCTTAAATTCAGTGTTAAAAAAAGAGAAATGAGACATTTCCTAATGTCCACCAATGAAGTTTCATTATAATTATGTCTTTGATTGAAATCATTAGTCATTTAAAACTAGACTACCATGGAAAACCTTCAAGCACTGGACGGCCGTTTCGTCCTAGTATGGGACTCCTCAGCAGTACGCATCCACGATCCCGCACCCGGCGAGATTCGAACCCAAGACCACTAGACCACTGAGCCGGCATCCAATGGTGTTGATGTATAACTTCAACCATTCTATGAAATTGCGTGACCATATTCCATTGTACCGAAGTGGATACCCGTCTCTACTTGACATAGATTAGCTCCACTAGTCACGACTTCACACTAGAACTCCGAGAATTCCATCACGAAGCTAGTCACTAATGAGCACATAGGATGAAACGGCCATCCGGTGCCTCCAGGTTTTCAATGTTAGCCTAACATCAATCTGTTCATGATCTCAATCAAAAACTTAGTTATCTCCATAATCCTATACTGATATTTATTTTTTGACCTAAATTCACTTGATTTGTCCGATTGCTATGATAGAGTATTAATACTTATAAAATTGTCGATATATTTTACTTGTATGTATCTATCTATCTATGAATATGAAATTTGAGTACAGTTATCCCTATTGATTAGACTTACTCGATGTTTAAATGTTTAATACAAAATTTAGGTCAAATTTTACACTTCTAGGAGCATTCAAATAAAGAAAACTACTGAAACTTTGTAATATTCCTTGAAGAAAGATGTAATTCATACTTCAATAAATCCATGTTGGATTAATATTAGAATAAGTAACAAACTTATGAAAAAAGAGGATAAGTGCTGAAGGTAAATCATGATTGAATTTCATTCTATTTTATAGTTTTGGATCTATGTCTGAACTTGATTGTTAAACCATTATGTACATAGAAAACAACTTTGATTGATCAGTCTCTTATTGGTATATGAACATCCAGTGCGGGTTACCTCGATATTGTCTTAAGTCACAAGCATTCGGAGTAGAGATGGATGGTGGTTAGCGGTGGAATCGAGGGCGCGTGTTTCGTCCTAATTATGACTCGTCATTTGGATGTGCCTACATCTCAGAGTTGGTGTTCATTTCGGGGCTTGAATCCAGTACCGTTCACTTAAAATGCCATCATGTTATCCAGTTAACTACTGACTCCTAATAGCAACTAGCTTGTGCAATAAGGTGAAGTGTATATACATTTTGTATTGTTTGTTTGAATCTTCCACTGCTAGCCACCATCCATCTTCTCTTATTTCTAAATTATTGTGTTGTACTAAAGATTTACTAAATCAATGTCGATTATGATGTACGTATTCCCCACTCAGTTATATTTAATAATCAATCACTAATTAAAAAGAATTAGTACAGTAAAACTATTCAATCAAGGTTTTAATTGTAATTGAATTCATACTGTTAACATATTGGAGATTCGATTCCCTTGAATAATAAATCTATTGAATAAAATTATAATGAACAATGAAATGATTCACAGAGATCTTGCATTATTTCATGAAGCTTTTATAAAAGAGTAAGGCTTCTAAGTTGAAATACGTACCTACTTGTTGATTATCTAAACAATAATGAAAATGATAAAAGAATGAAATTTAGATTATTATTTGTAACGATTCGACTTATCATATTGTTGAATTCACTTGGTATTGTTTGGCTTGTTTCTTTCCATTGAGGTTTAAGACTGATCAGCTGATACAAGTCAGACAATTCCAAGTGAATTTAAACTTCACCCCATTGCACAAGGAATTGGCTATCAGAAATCAGCAACTGAGTGGATAACGCGATGGGTTTTGAAGCGAATGGTACTGGGTTGGAGTCCCAGATTGTAAATCAACTCTGAGATGCAGGTGCATGCAGCTGACGAGTCTCAAGTAGGACGAAACGCTCGTCCTGGATTCCGCTGCTAGCCACTATACATTATTATTTGGCACTTGTCAACAAGGTGTTTATGTACAAGTATTTATAAACAAATGTCTACACAAGCTATTCAGTGTCACTTGACCGTATATAATCAGCAACAGCCTACTGTGGGAGAGAATACACCAGCGTCCAATTGAAGAAGAAATTCCTAATAATCTTTGCATGTGGATAGGATACACATTGAGGAAATCATCAAATCGCATCACAAAGAAAACGCTAACTTTGAATCGTGAAGGGAAACAGAAAGGTGGAAGACCAAAGAATACACTGTTGGGAAATGGAAGTAGATATCAAGAGAATGAATAGTGATTGAAAAGAACTGTTAAGGATTGCCCAGGACAAGTTTAGTTGGTGAGTGCTGGTGGACAGCCTATGTAACAAGCGTAACTAACTAAGAAATCATTTTTGGATTGTGTGGAGCATACTGGTAGATGGCCTGTGCTCCTGCACGCGGGATAAAAGGTATAAGTAAGTAAGTACATGGTTACATATATATATATATATATATATATATATATATATATATCACGAAGTCAGCATACTATCACCATTAATCAATAGTCTATCGGCTTTCGACATTTTAATTGATTTTTTAGATAATAACTTTCAGTATAAAATATCTGTCTGTTACACATATATTCTTTAGTATCCTCACTACTGAGGAATCCCACAATAGAACGAAACGGATGTTCAATGATTACAGGTTTTAAATGGTTATATAACATCAATCGATTCATTATCTCGATCAAAAACTTAATAATATTGATACTAAAAATCGAAACACTATACCAATATGTGGATAGAATTTGATTACATCATTTAAATTTTATGCAATATTTTTTTGTAAGCATTGATGGATAATGGCTAGCAGTGGAATACAGGACGCGTGTTTCGTCCTATTTGGGACTCGTCAGCTGCATGCACCTGCATCTCAGAGTTGATTTACAATCTGGGACTCCAACCCAGTACCATTCGCTTCAAAACCCATCGCGTTATCCACTCAGTTGCTGATTTCTGATAGCCGATTCCTTGTGCAATGGGGTGAAGTTTAAATTCACTTGGTATTGTTTGGCTTGTATCTTCCCATTGAGAACGAAACGCGCATCCTGGATTCCACTGCTAGCCATTATCCATCATTGCTCACAAAAAGCTTGTGAATTAAGATAATATCGAGGCGTACTCACAGATTGCACATTTACCAATAACAGACTGATCAATTGCAGTCTAAAACCTCAATGGGAAGATACAGGTCGAACAGTACCAAGTGAAATGATGCAATATCGTTTAAAATAATCATTTAAATGTCAGCATCAATGTTTTCTATACCAGATTAATCACTCATAACTAGTTTTAATGATGACTTCATTGGAAAGTATGTTAATGTATACTTTTATTCCTTCGTTTCTTTTTTGTTTTAATGTTTTAGTTAAGCCCAAAATGTAACTTCACATTGAGTGAAGTAAAACGAACCCCGATTTGATATTCATTTACATCTAAGTTGATGAAGTCGAACTAAAGAAAAAAAAGAAGATGAAAACAAAAAAGAAAGAAAAGAGAAAAGTATTTGATTTATTTCCATGTTGACATTATGAATAGTTTGGTCACAGATTTGATTGTTATGGCTTTTTTCTAAACATACAGTTGTTAATGCATTAAATTTTTCAGACAGGATGGAATTACAAGGGAGGGGGGTAAACAACCAAAATTATGCATACATGTACACACATACATACCAAGTGTGTGAAAAGTATACATTAAATACTTCATTTGTAAGTCTTCCATTAATTGTCTATTATAAACTTCATTATTCCTTCATTTCGATTACTCTCTGTTTACATTACTATTCTCTTCAATTCGATCTTCTCAACATTCTGCTGCCAGGTATTCCACTTCTGAATAACATTACATACTACTTATGTCGAAAGATATAAGTAGCGTACACTATATATATATATATATATATATATATATAGAGAGAGAGAGAGAGAGAGAGAGAGAGAGAGAAAGTTACTGAACAAATATAAAAAAGATCGTACGATTCAAATTATCGCAAGTGTGGTGGAGAAGATTTGTAGCTCAGGTGGATGATTTTGGTGGAGTTTTGTTCTCTGAGCTGGATGGTTTGGTCGCGGAGCTTTCATACACAAACATAAGAACAAAAATCGAAACAAAGGGAGACACAACCAAAACGAAGAAGTAAACAACGACAAATTTAAGGTCAATAAGATCCAATCAACGTCGAGGTGCACAGAACAAGCTTTTAGACACATATGGAGAAATTCAAACACTTCACTTCTATCTGAAGTTTGTGCTGATGATGTCGTTCAGAAGAACGATGAAAGCTCCACGACCAAACCATCCAGCTCAGAGAACAAAACTCCACCAAAATTATCTCAAGTGTATTTTGTTTAACCATCCATGACTAAACAGGGTAGTGAACTGACAACTTTCAA